CAACCCCCAACAAATTTCAGTCTTCTCCCTCTAATTACTTCTCTCTCTATCCATTTTCCCTTTTGGATTCTTTTGCAAAAATTCCTTAATCCACCTGACATATAGTGGTCCCAAGAATAGTTTGTAGAATTTTCCTTCTTTACCCATTTGGTTTTGAGTTGAGTATTCTTGATTTCACATTTCTAGCTGCCTGGGTTTTCTTTCGCTTTTTCTCCTGGGCTTATAAGTTATAACACAGAAACACAAAGGTTACTTTGGTCTTATTTTTATGAGTCTACTGTTGTTGGGGGCTTTCTTTTTTGTATGAATTTGAGTTTAAGCAATTTCTGGCCATTCTTTTCTGGTTTCAATTCGACTGAATTCTGGTTTTCTCCACTATTTAGTTTCTGTTTTTTTTTTTTGAGGAACTGATCACCGGTTATTTGCTCCAAGTCTTTGTGGGCAGCTTCTTCAGCTTTTGTCATCAGGTAAAACACCTAAAATGCGCAATTGGTTATGTTCAACAGTTTTGGAAACCTTAGCTTTTAAATTTTAGCTTAGCTCATTGTGTTTTAGCTGTTTTTATTATAATTTATGTTGCTCCTTTCAATTGGATTATAAATTATGATATTAGGGCAGATGTTGGTGTCTAGGCACACCTTGACTATTTCACCTAGTACCTGCTGCCTATCACCAGCACAAGTACCGACTAACTCTGCCCACTTGCCTTAGGCAAATGGGAAGAAATCACCTAGTTTTTGTTCCGCTTGTGATGGGATTTGAATCTGAGACCTCATGATTCTCCTCTCAGGGATTTGAATCTGAAACCTCATGATTCTCCTCTCGTTTCAGTTTGAGAATGCGATCTCAACAAACTCAGCATTTTTTTAAGCATTTGTTAATGCTTGCTTACATGGAAATTTACAGTGGAACCAGCAATTGCGTAATGGTGGAATCCCCTTTTAAATTTTGTTCCTTATAAGCAAAATCATTCGAGTTTGTCTGATGCTGATTTTGGTCTTAAAATGATTGACAATGCTCTTTGCGGTTTCTTGTTTAATGTGATGAGGTTTAAAAGTGTGTTACTAGCTTTATGGTCAATATCATTTCCCTTGTTGTATTTCTGGATGTCGACCAGTGAAATTTTCCTTGCAAATTTGAGCTAATGATTTTCGTCTGTGTTTCCTCATTTTATCCCCAGCAGCTGGTTGTCACCTTACTTCATAGTTAGATGAGATAATTAGGTCTTATGGGTTTTCAAAAGTTTGTTCTATCCGTGTCTGCTCAATTCAGAATAACTTATCCATTTTTCTCATTATTTGTCTTTTCCTTTTTATTGTTTTCCGATAATCTATCTAAATCTTTCCTCTCAAAGCTGGCCATTTATTTATTGTCACCCGCTTCTGATTGGACGCTCAAGTAGCTTTGTCATGTGTGAAGTCACGCAATTTGGCACGTTGCTTTTATTTCTGCCTTGACTTCGTAATTAACAACTTTATATCCTTTTCATTGGCCGTTACATACTGCACTTTAATTGTTCAACAGTTTTAGATACGTGTGACAAGTGAATGCGGTTGACAGGATGACTTCAAAAGTTGGTGTGGATTCGCCATCTGTTGAAGAAGCTAGCGGTGGAGGAAGTACCAGAGGAGGTGTCCCACTGAAAAAAGGTCCTTGGACTAAAGAAGAAGACGCGATTTTAATGGATTACATCAGAAAACATGGGGAAGGGAATTGGAGTGCTGTCCAGAAGCACTCAGGACTTGCTCGTTGTGGGAAAAGTTGCCGTTTGCGGTGGGCAAATCACCTAAGACCAGATTTGAAAAAAGGTGCTCTAACTCCAGAGGAAGTGCGTCACATAAATGAACTGCATGCTAAGATGGGAAACAAATGGGCACAAATAGCTGCTAAGGTTTGCATCAACGTCTCAATCTCTTTTAGCAGCTACTTATAGTTATAGACAAACAATGTCAGATGATTAAATGCCAAGAATGCTATCTGATGTAAATCTATTCCCGAGGATATCGGTTAAACAATTCAATATTAGTTAAACAGTTCAATTTATAGATTTGGTAAGCAATCTCCTTTGTTTAAATTACCATTTAACTCTTGCTCCAAGTCCCTACTTGGTTACTGTAAATCATGTACGTAGACTATGGTATCATTTCTTGGTCAAAAGCAAGAAAGAATAACTCATACACAAGATTTCGTGGTCAGCCAAAAAACAATGTCTATAATCGGTGCAATGCACTACTATATTGTCTTGTGCTCGTAGAGTTCCAGTCTTTTGAGTTTGGTGGATAGTTGTTTGAAAACCTTGTCTTTCCCTATTAACAGTTTATAATCACTCTGGTCTTAAATGATTGCCCTTCTTTTCTGTTGGAGCTAAAGTATATAAATAAATGTGGCTGATCTCTAACAGTTTAATAGATGAAATGGTTCTCACAATTCAAGATGGTATCGAAGCAGGAAGATCATGGATTTGGTTTGCACTGTCACCTAAAAACATAGCTGGCCCAGGAAAAAGAATTAGGCCACTCATGGGTGTTTTGTTGTGGAGTCAAAGTAACTAATTGTGTCTGTGCTTTTATAGTTCGCGTTTTAAATGGGGCTACTTGCACACGTCAATTGCTTTAACTTAAGTTTCTGCTTCTGTTATATTAATTCTTTCTGGTACTAGATGTTTACCCACCTTAAATTTGTGCTGACTACATTTCTATGACAAAGTCATACTAAAATGGTAGTCACCGCAACACTCTCCAAATGGTTTTTGATGCATTTTGATAAGTACTTATATATATGTGTGTGTGTCTGTGTCTGTGTAGTTTAAATGTACATATGTATTTTTTTCTATACTTTTTGGGAAGAACTGATTAATGTTAATTCCTTATGTTCATCTATTTATTAGTTTCTGCCTCTCTCCAAGTTTTCACCTCTGTGTGCCCAGACCTTGAACATTGCAAGCTTTTTGGATTACATAGTCTTTTCTTTTTCTGGGGACTTCAGCTTGTGACTATGCTATCTGAACTTCTATTTTTTGTTTTGCCTCTGTTGTTAGTTATAGGGCAATCCTTTTTTTTTCTAATTTAATTTATATCTGGTGATCCTCAATGATATTTGTATGTCTGAGTGCAGTCTGGTAAGATAATTTAAGTCTTCTTAACAATCAAATTTTCTTTTAAGACTTCTCTACTAGGAGGGAGACTAAAAGCTGTGCTTTTCGAAACCTGTCTGGATGAATAGTCCACTAGGTTGGATTGGGAATCTGAATTCTGTGTGCCTAATAATTTACAAGAAAGTTGGTGACTCTCGGCAAGGCATGGTCCTGGCCTCCGTTTGATCTAAATCTTGCACCATCATTTTTAGGACAGCCTTCCATTAGTCTTCTTTACACCCTACGCTAAGGGGAAG